TAAAGATAAATATATGGTCCGAGCATATGTTACTAAGAAAATCAAGTGGTCCAGTGGTTAGGACTCTGAACTCTGGACTGAGAGGTCCTGAGTTCAAATCCCAGTGAAGTAGGGGCTTTTCTTTTAATCAGTCTTAAATAAAAAAAATTAAAAGCAAAACTCTTTTTCACGCTAGCTTGTTTAGCTAGCTTGTTACCCTGCTGGGGATTGAACCTGCTTCTGGAGGGTTCTCGTCCCACCAGGGTGGTTCCACCAGGCAGCAAGCTAACCTGTTGAGCCACTTGGGTCCCCCAACTACAGATGTTCGTTTCTTATATATAAAGATTAGATTCATACTTAGAAAATTTGTCAGCATTCTCCAACAGTTGACTAGAACACGAGAAGTAGACAGGTCTGGACCACTTCAACTGAAGTAGAGAATTTCACGAGACAGTTTTAATACTACTGGGTGCTTAACAGAGCAAGACCATTTCTCTTACGACTCAAACTTTGGCGATAAATATTAGAAATACAAAGTCTGTGTACACTGTATTGAACTAAGTTCAATTTAAGTGGTATATACACATTACAAAGATCTTGCCATAAATGATGATACACCTATATTCAAAATTTCTTGCAAGGGTTATGCATACGATTGAAAGAAAACAAAATTTGCAATGTTCAGTTTTCATTCTTATCCAAGAAATATATGACATTTTTTTCCCCAGTCCTTTTCTCACCAAACTAATCAACCACAAAACTTGAACGGCAGTCCAGTCCAAAATGCTCTCTGAAAAATATTCCACAGCTGTCGGGTATCCTGCGTACATGCACAAAGTTAATAGTACATCATGAAAAAGTACTGAACAATTCCTGGAAAATATTTAGAGTACTTTTGAAGGATGACAACTAGAAAGGATAACAAAAAAATGAACAAATGTTCATTTCACCAAGAAAAGCAATAAATACATGCTCAGATGTACCATTATATACCAAAAAGTAACGGTCTGAATAATACTCCTATACATTGTATGTACCTCGCAAATCAAGTAATCAAATACACCATTTTACAGTAGTTCTATTTACAATTCATATACATGTACATATCTTTTATATTTACTCAGGGTTTCATTATACAGAGTTCCGTAGCAGGAAAAATGCAAGTTGTTACATGATCCAAAAAAAAAACCAATCTTGGACATAGCCACCAGTGAGCTGTGCTTCAGATCATCGGCCAATATACACATTCCAACTGTAGCATTTGTCCGTTTGCCAATGACAGATCACAATTTAAAAAAAAAATGCTCTTGATCTACAAGTACAGTCTTGAAAGATTCATCAATTTCAATTAATTATTATAAATATACATGATATTTTTCACTGAATATAAAACAAATATCTGATATATAAAATGACAGATGAAACAGTAAGATCAAAATATGTCGGCAAAAGCATAGTGGAGCATTTTAGTGTGAATAACATTATTTCTATTACTCATCTTATTTCTGGAATAACTTGGCATTTTCCAACAGGAAAACCTCTGCTACTAAAAATTGTCTTCAAGCGAAAATGGAAGGTCGGTGAGTTCTGACCTCACCCTTCATCAACAAGAAGCAGAAAAGTACTTTTTGTCATCGTCAAGTCCACAAATTACTTCCAAGACTTGAGGAGCTTCAAATATTAATTGTTTCATCCTTCAACGAGTTGTCAAGCCCCAGGTTGGACTTTTGTTTAAAGTCTAGCTCATGATCGGCCCCGGGCTGAAGTGCACCCCCAATCGGCAAAAAGAAAGACAGGTGTTTACAAGTGGGTTCTTGTACACGTTCTGTACGCAACGACCATACATGCCGGAGTAAATTAGTTACGCGTACTCAGTGTGCTCCGCGTCAAACGCGCATATATACTTGAACGGTTCACGGCGCGTCTATGTGGTAAGTGCCAAAAAAAAACACCCTCTTTTGTTCCGCTTGGAGCAGATTATCACTGCATCAACATGCACAAATTGATAGCAACCAATCCACCAAAAATGCACAGTATTCACTGTATTTGTCCCCAAGTTGCAAACTTTAAAGCTGTTTGTCTGTACAAAAGTGACCTATATTCACTGTACACTGGTTTGAACAAAGCTTTGTTGGTTTTTGAAAACTTGTTAATGCATTTACAGTACATAAGTTCATGTCCACCAGGACTGTACCTGGAATACATTTTTCAAGCAGCCGCTCATTTTGATATCTCCTCGAAAAACAGCACGTTTCCATCAAAGTTTATCGCTTCTCCAGTTATCTGTCTTAATTTTGGCCAATTGAGAGTGCAGTTTGTGGGAAGCTAATAATTCTGTCATTTGCTGCTAAATTCTGTTACATGTATCGCCAGCCATCAGCTGCCATCTTGCAAAACCCTAGAGTAAGTTTCCTAGACCAAGATTGGCTGGCTCGTGACATTTCTGCTTTTAGGAAAGCCATATGCTACAGTCCCATTGAGACCAGACTGCCCACAACCTGTGTTTTAAGAGCCACCTCCCCATTCTCAAAAGCAGGCAAGTTTATATATCTTACAGTAGTGGAGACTTACACAGTGATTGGCTGTACTGGAAACTCACTGTCAGTGCTGAAGCTAATCTACCAATTCCGTTCAATTACAAACCTGATCATACATCGTGGTTACACTGTGTAGTCAGTTTAAACTTTTGTTTCATTGCCAAGTAACAATTAGGAAGTCACTGTAAACTTGATCTTGACATTTTTCATCTTGTTTCAAAGCAGCCAATGTTAAAAACAGTGGCACTCGCAACATCAAAGTACCACTCTACCTAACCAGAAGCAACGCAGATTCCATTAGCCGACAAGTGCCAGTCTTAAATGTTTGGCTTGAGATCAATAAATAAAGGCACCTTTAACACAGGCCATCTGTGTGCACAGTCATGAAAACCGGAAAGACTATGACCGGCCAACCTTTAGAATCCTTCGGGGTCTTTATACTCCGGTTCCTGTGAGACAAAGTAATCGTCCAGGTAATTGTAGAGGAACTCAAAGGTGGGTCGGTCTTGGGGTACCTCCAGCCAGCATTTGCGCATTATTCTGTACAGGGAGTCCGGGCAGTGTTGGGGTTTGGTCATTCGGTAGCCGCGCTGGACCTGGTCAAGCACCTCTGCATTGGTCAGTCCTGCAATTTTTCGAACGACAACATTTATTTTTCCAACAATCAACTGTCTTAAATAGGAAATTACAGCATTAAACAAGTGTCGTAGCCGAGCTTATCTTAAGTCCTCTGAAAGTTCATCAGAAATCATCTGATCTTGAGCTACCTCAGGTACTCAAAGGAGCTCTGACAGAAACATTCTTCTGTCATTGTTTGCCCTGTTCCTCACGAATGGTCTTGTCACAAGAATGTGGAAGGGAATTGTGGTAAATTTTTAGTATGTATCAACAAAGTTGTTAGTGGATTTGCAATCACTGCCCTCAAGTAGCCCTGCCAAAGACTCCATCACGGAAAAAAAGCTGTTAAAATCTCTTTGGGAAATGTTTCCATCATCAGTCAAAATCAATTTATGAAAGAATTGATGCCACTGCCAAACACCTTGTTCAACAAAAGAAATTCGGGAGAAAAAAAAATTGTATTTCCATGGTGGCCTCCTCACCTGGATAAGGCATCATCCCCTTGGTGACGACCTCTGCGACCAGCACGGCAAACGACCACACATCTGATTTGATGCTGTAAGTGCCATAGAGGGCAGCCTCTGGGGCTGTCCACTTGACTGGAAACTTGTTTCCTTAAGAGAGGAGATCAAGATGCATAGAAAAAAAAAACATTTCAAAAATTGAGAACAGAAGCATTTTAAAGAACACAATAACTATGGTGTATTGGAGTAATAAATGGAACCCAGGAACAAAGGCTTGGCAAATGGAAGTTGAATATTCACAGCATTTGTAAAGAGTCCTGGGCCAAATTGCTATAAGTTCCACAAGCATGGTGGCTGAAGTCAATCCATAATGCCTATCCTAGTGGTACAGCAGAAACTTCAATGGAGACTGCATTATCTTCGACGAACACAAGAGAGATACACAAATTCCATGCATGAAAGTTAAGACCGTAATATTATCTGTAATCTTCAGAGGAATGTGCGTCTTTCCCCCAACAGACATGTCACCGGTAGCTAAGACCCCAACCATAGTCCTTCTACCTTTTCTTGCTACGTAGTTCTCATCTAGTACAAGTTTGGCCAAACCAAAGTCGGCTATCTTGACCAGGTTGTTCTCTCCCACCAGGATGTTGCGGGCGGCTAGGTCCCGATGGACGTAGCCGCGATTCTCCAGGAAACTCATCCCTTGGGCAATCTGGGTTCAAAAACAAGATGACGGCAATGTACTCAGGCCAGATGTGAACCAGTAAGCAATGACATTAAGCTCAAGTGCTGGACGGACCAAGTTATTCAACAATTTAATGTCAAACTGCTTTTTTTCGAGAACTCTGCTAATCTGTTATTCAGCAATATGCAAATTACGTTTCTTCTTGAAGTGTTGAATAAGTGGATACAAAAAAGTGAACTGAACGGAGCAAGACAAATAAATCACGACCTCTAGAGACAGTTCATGACTAAACTTCAAAACTCAGTAATACAGTACCTTGGGCTTCCCGTAAATTATAAACTAAACTTTGAGGAGGGTTCTTAACATTTGTTTTTCAAAGATAAGGCTACTTCTTAACGTGTAACATGTCAGAAATATATCAAAATATTTTGGTCTTCAGCAGCAAGAGAAGCTGAATTACACCTATTGATGAGGACTTGACCAATTGAGGACATTAATTGATCCTAAATTTCAAAGGGGGTGGAGACTCGCACCTGGGCAGTCATGTCAACGAGGACACGCAAGCTGAGATATTTCCCGTCCCCTTCTCGGAGGTATGTAAGAAGCGCTCCGTTCTTCATGAGCTCTGTGACGATGTAGATGGGTTCCTGAGAGGTGAGAAGTGTGGCTATTAGGCAGTGTTGTAGTTGAGTCACGCATGTCGGATCTGAGTCCGAGTCCAGAATTTCAAGCCCAAGTCCGAGTTCTGGACTCCAGTCATATAACACTGCTGTTAGGTGACATTGTTTGGCCATATGTTTGCTGTTGCTTGGTCAGTCACGAGATCAAATGTTTGAAATAATGTACTTTAACCAGTTAACGTCGGATTTTCTTACCTGAAAAAGATGCCCGGGGCGGGTTATTTTCCTGCCCTTAATTATGACTTAACCAAGCATGACAAATAATACGTTAATCACGGAAATGAAAAAAAAGTCTTAAACAAGTGTACACTTTTTTCAGTGGAAAAAATAAGGAAAATTGTGTGTGTTAAAATGTCATCCAGCGTCAAGTGGTTGAAGTCTTTAAAATGAAAGTAAAGTCTGCGGCAGACATGACAATAGTCTAGACATTAAACTGCTCTTAAGCTAAGGAGTATTTTTTCTGCGGAACATCTCACTTTCACAGTTGCATATTTACCTTCTCGGAGCATATGCCATAAAGGTTGACTAGTTTGGCGTGTCTCATCTCCTTCATGATGTTGGCTTCTGCTAGGAATGCCTCGGGAGACATCGTTCCTTCTTTTAGTGTCTTGACAGCAACTGGCGTTTTGCTGTTCCAAATTGCTGCAAAAAAAAAAGAAAAGAAATCACGGCACTCTGCTATTATCTGGCCTTCAGGACAGCTGAACGTTTTTGGCAGTTCACTGCAAGTATTGGCTCAACATTTCCAACAGAGAGTATTCCTCACTGAGGGCATAACTTAAATCAAGAGCAAAATTCAGACTGTTAACAATCAAGGAACCAGGTCAAAATTGCTCAGGTGTCGAGTGTTTTTTTCAAATTGAATGACAACTATGGGACACACTACCCACCTTTCCACACTTCGCCAAACTGGCCGGAACCCAACTTTGACACCAACACCATTGAGCTGCGGTCGATCTCCCAGATGTCTCTGCCTAACGTTTTCGTGGTGGGACTTTCCTTCGGACACGAATCGGTAAGCCGACAACACAGACCAGCGTTGTCACCTGCAGATACCGAAGAAAGGTTGACAAATTTTGAAAGGCGAAAAGTGGTGAAAATACAAGAATTTACGTATTGCACCGTGACAGTTTCCTTGTCACTTTTGCTGCATGTGCATATATGCAATTCACACATTTCACACACACATAAAGCTGGTTTGCATTTCTTCCACAACGCACTCTTCAAATTACCACTCTGAGTTTTGTCCTACAAGTAAAATGGCGTATTGCACCAAACATTGTCCATGAACGTACCTCCTCTGTAGAATTCTACCACATCTTGTAAGGTGGGGAATTTCTTGTGGGCTGAAATGTAAAATTCTCCATCGGTTGATTTATTAATGCGGTAATTTTTGACGTTGGGAAATCCGCTGCTTTCGTCTCTGACTGACAAGGCATATGTTCCTGCCAAACACAGAAAAAAAAAGTCCTAGTTACTTTAGAGAAATTGCACTTTACATGCGCAGTATGACCCAAAATTTAGTGCAGCACTCATGCAATGATGCATTGAAAGTGATCTGTGAGTCAAATAATCCCGTTGAATCCATACAGTACCAGGCTTGGTTTCGCTTTCACGGATCAGAAATGTTCCTGGCACCAGGCTAGGCACCATCAGACGATTTGCGGCATCGCTTCGCGTGCAGTCGCGGAAGAACCAGCTGGGGATATACAGAGAAAGGGAAAGGACAGAAATGTCTGTTATTTGCAAACAAAGCCGGCATAAGAAAACTCAGCCTAGGGGAGATGAAATGGTATCAGTTTCTGGTAAAGTTGAAAGCTGTTTGGAAATGCCTTAAATCAATACGTGAAAATGTAATCTGTATGACCTTGTTCATTTCATGTCACACTAAAACACATCCTTGAATGTACGGTATTCATTTCCTGGAAGCATCATAAGTGGACCGGTACGTTTTGCTCATGTGAAATACATCTAGTCACTGTCATTTCAACCTGCCAGTTTTACACTGACGGCACATTCATCAAATGTTTTGCATCAAAATTAATTTCAGTGGGGAAAAAAGGCCTTGTCAATTAGTGTGGAGACTGAAGAAAATTTTTTGTGTGTGTGAACAATCTACAAGAATATGTTTCTTTATTCTTTCACGGCACTGCATTGCTCATCAACAAACAATCAAACAATTTCAGGAGTTAATTAATACATAAAAAAGCCTTTTAAAAAAAAAAGGCTATCTTGTGGGTTTAATCAAGGGGCCTTTTAACATTTTTCAAATAGTGCCATCAATCGAGCCCGGTGCTCTTTAAGTAATAACCCGGCTACTTTTGAAGTCTGACTGGAACTTTAATCTTGTCCTCAACAGTGGTGGAGTCAGTTGCCCTGACTTTCGTGAGGTCAGTTCCTTCAAGTGCATTACAGACCAATGAGAGAGTGCATCTTTAAACCTTTAAACCTCTCTGGGGATTTTATGTGTTATTTAAAGCTTCAAATATAGCAGATACATGTATGCAGTGATAGTAGAGGTACATGTGAATCTTGATTAACCCTAACCCTACATAATACTACAAATTACTAGTTGTAGTAAAATGTAGTATTCAGTCCTGTCGCTTGTAAGAGGTCATGACCTTAATGTTCTCTGATGCCATAAGACACAATACATGTAGATAAGACAATGTACCATACCGTGCTGTGGCACTATGAATGCATGGCTTCATTGTTCTCTGTACAAGTAACAATGGAAGTAACCTAGCCAGAAGTAGTAATCTGTAGCGCTAGGTCCTTCAGGCTCAGACTATTACTTAGTATTTTGTAGTACTGAGTTTTGTAAGCCACACAATATGCTTGGCGGCTAGGGTTAAAGAAAGGAACAATGAGCATGAGGGCAAAACAACAAAGCAACCCTGCCAGTAACCATGGTAACAAGAATGGCAACCATGATTACCAAAGAGAACCTTTGAACACTGCGCCTTGAATGGTGATGCATCAGTGAACACCAAATCCCCATCCAACAGTCGGTAATTAGCCAGACTCTGATTGGGGTTTTGAGCCTCCTGCATGACATTACTGGGGCAACTAAAAGCCATGGGAGGAGAGCGATGGGTCTTGTTGGCAAACGAGAGGAAATTGGCTCTCCCTAATGATGACAAATTGACAATGTTCGATGGATGCATTTGACAATGGTTGTTGACTCTTGACCTGCAGCTTCACTGGATTGTACAAAGGCGGAGTTTATCTCAGAAAAAAAAGGCATGCTTAGAACTTAATTCAAGAACTAATGAATGTGTACCCAAAACAGGGTGTGGTAGACATTTGTCTTTCTGACGAAGTAACTCCAATCTCCACGTGGGACGTAATATCACCCAAAAGTTCACTAAATTATTGGATCTTGTTTCTTTGAAAGCTGAATATAAATGTACGGCTTCAGTTCCAAAGGTATTTGCAGCTGTAATCTTCAGTCGTAGGATTTTGTAGGATTCAGACTGGCACTTTTCTTGACTCCAGCAAGCAATCTCAACCACTGCTTTTTTGACAGAGAATTTGCAAGTTTTAGATCATTTACTTTTAACAGTAAGACCTTTTTTCCTGATGAAAAACATGTACGTTTGCCACCTTACACATCATTGCCTCAAGTCCACACCAACTACAGGCAGCACTAGCTTCTACATTTTTAAAAGCTGCACCAAACATCAACTTCATCAAGATTCAACTCTTCGTATGGAAACTCAAGAATGTACCAGCACATGAACGCATGCAAGTTTTTTTTTCCTAAAAATAAATACTCTCTAACTGTAAAAAAAATAATTACGAACAGTTTGCATTGATTCCTCTATCGAAAATCTCTCTTTCCCATTGCCAAAGAAAAAAGAAAGAAAAAAAGAACGAACTAATGAAAATATACACAGTGGAGGCAAACATCTACGTGTATCAAAGCACCAATTTCTGTAAAGTTTAGACAGCATTGTGTAGTTTCACTTTTCATACACCTGACATACATGCAGCACTACATGTTCTTTCAGTAGGCCTGACATATTTATAAACCAAGCCATCTTTCTGCAATGCTGCTTATAAGCACATGACATACAGTAAAAGGCTTTGCAATTCAATGCACAAAGTAAACAGTGTACAAAGAGAATTCCATTTATCGACTACAAGTCCATGTCTTAACGGCAGGGGGAAATCCACAATTTCAGCATTTCTATACTGAATGCCTACATGGATTTCCAATTCAGACAGGGAACAAAGGACAGAAATTTCAGAGAGAAAAGGTCAGAAGTGTATAGCCCAGTGATGGCAAAAGATGAATGTAGGAACACTCACGCAGCAAAAAGGTGCAGGTGCATGCATGTACATGTATGCATCGTGTACGTATACATGTCATGTACCTACATGTGGGAAATTCAATATGCTCTACGCAAAAACACAGACTCTGAGTGTTTTTAGGATGCACAGAACTGAAGACAAAGCTCAAGATAACAGCATTAATTATCTAGCCACCTGTCCTGGAGGACAGGCAAAAACAAATGTGGAGAGGCGTTTTTTGCTCACTTAAAATTTACAATCCCCCTTTTTTTACATAAATATTTTTAACTGGGGCGGACAAGTCCCACATTTCCTTTCACTGCACGCAGTGGAAATACGGCCTCTGATACGTACATGTACAAGCAGAAACAGGGACGTGTCAGTGTCAAAATGATCCTTGGATACTGATGATGTCTTGGGCTGACTTGAGCACTATGAGCTTGGTACAGTACAGTATTTAACCAGCTAATGTTGGGTTATCCTCCCAGAAAAAGCTCCCCGGGGCTGGTTCATTTTTCACAAATTCTTCTACCTTGCAATTTATTTCTGGCCCAAGCAAGCACAACTTGTTAATAATTTAACCATAGAAATGAAAAAGGAATTCTCAAATGAGTGTACACGTCCTCCGTGGAACAAATCAGGAAATATGTGTGTGTTTACATGTCATCGGGGGACAAGTGGTTAAATACAAGTACGGTTAACTTTTGCTATATAGTACTCTCTTTTTACAAAATAGTGTTATGAAAATCAACTTCTCAAAATCCAGGGTGGAGGATTTTTTTTTTTCTAATTTGACAATGACTTACTCTTCTGCTTCCAAGCTCTTGACCTGGGCCACAAAGTTACTCGGAATGTAACCCTCGTTGTGTGTTACCAGGGACTTTGCCAGCCACCAGTCCCCACTGACGATAGAACAAGATGACGAATATAAGCATTAGCGGTCTTACGGGCATTAAAAGGACTTGCAAGCCCGAAACGCAAGATTGGGATTAGATCTGGAAATCTCTCTTTGACACTTGCATCGATGATAAGCATTGTAAATGGTAAAAATGTGAAGAAAAGAATTGAAAGTTCACTTTAACTGGAGGAACCAATGAGAATTACATGTACATGTAAATAAGAAACATGCTTGTTTGAAATGCTTGCTCGGGATAGCAAAATTCATCCAACTCCTCTTGAAAAGAAACCTTAATATAAGAAATAAATCTTCCGTTTTTTGAAAAACCTCGTGTGTAAATAAGACAGGCAATTCATGTACTTCCTTCAACATGTACTGATACTCAGTTACAATGTGATTGTTACACAACTTAAAGGTCAAACCTACCAGGTACGTGTGACGTCAGACAGTTGCAAAACTATGAGCGACAATAAAACATATCACCTCCGGTACTTTTTGGATTCAAAACAGGTGTTTGTTTGCAAATACACGTATCAGTTAAAAACTCAGGGTAGTCACCTGTAATCGAGTATTTTGAGTTTCTCCCCTCGATCAAAGGACAGATCCCCCTCCGTGCGGGCCTCATATTTGTAGAGCGCCATGTAAATGTCTCTCTGGCCTGCAAGTGAAATACAATACACATCACAATGCTAGTACAAATTCACAGGAGAAACTCAGAGCTCTGTTGTTTCCAAACACATATTTTTTATTTACCTTAAAGGAAAGCTGGTATTTTTTTTTTCACATACAATGTACTGGCAGCACAGGTATATAACAGGCTCTGGCTGTATCATCCCTGGGGTGTTTCACAACGTCATATCCCACATCGTGGCAGTTAACAATTATTTTGCCAAATGCGTATGTCTTTGTTTTGATGTTTGCACTGATTTTTCAAGGGAAATTACAGGTGGTGAAGAAATTGTTGAACACTGGCAGTTGGCGATCTCTGCATTAACCTGTAGAATGCGGGGGATGCGTGCATGCCTACCCACGTGCCCATATGCGCAAGATATCATATAAAGCTGGCTGCTGTCTAACGGTGAGTGTGAAGTGGTATTATGAGAGTACCAGTACATCGCCCTGTCATGTGATCGTTCTGGGCCAATGAAAACACAGTATTCAAGACAGAGATATGACAAAAGCGCATACATGTACAGCCCACAAAATGTGTTTCGTTGGCATAAAAACCACACTTTCAGAGAAAAAAAAAAGAAGTATTAAAATCCTGTATGGCAGAAATTCCAGAATGAAGCTAAAAACATTTAGTTTAACCAACCTCACAATTTTCTTTACAAGGAGAACAAAAATGACAACAACAAGAAAGGGGAACCTACCATCATCTTGTGGTCGAGGAAGGACAGCAGGTGGTGCAAGCGATCGTGGGGACTGATTGTATCTGTTGGTGTTATCGGCACCATTGGCACGAGTAGGGTGTCGTGCCTGGTAGTTGACCCCCTTTTGACATTTGTCAAACACTCCTCCCATTGTTAATCTGTATGCATACGTAGATGTAGATACAAAACTCACAGGACTGAATGCAGGTAAAGCGGAAAACAAAGAGATCATTGTACAAACACAACAAAATGGAAGAGTTCCATATGGACGCCACTTGACACCATATACATGTACATGTATGTACAAATCCTATGCGACTGGTTTTACAAGTGAAACTTATGTTTTCTACATGAATACGTGTACCTCAATATTTTCCCTGCTAAATTTGATTTTTAGATCATTATTACTTTCAGATGGCTAATAAGTATCTGTAGGGAAAAATTAGAGCCATCCTTGTACATGTATGAAGTTCTCTCCAACAAAATGACTTTCCCTTCTTACTACATGTAGTTCACGTTAAAGAAAGATTTGTAGATGACAGGTGTGCTCTGTGGGTGTGTGCTAAAACACAATCACGGATGAAATGTCCAGCTTTATATCCCCTTTTCAAAACAGTTTTCAACAGCTCTGAAACTAAAAAGGGTGAATAACTGATGGTATGTTAGGATTGGCAGATCATTAGTATGAGAGGCACAATCATGCAGATTCCTCCATAAACTTCAGCACAGCGTCTGTCTACACATGTATACCAATGTGAAGTTGGAGAAGTTATAGGTAATATTCTTGCAGCATGCTCAGCATGTCTAGACATAAAAACTTCTTTCTTTGCTTTATTAGCAGTGGATATCTGACCCTAAACCGGAGCCGACTTACTTTCTCTTTATGGCCAGCACAGCAACTGAACATACACAGTACAGTGAGTGCTTTGATATGTTCAGGACTAACAATGACTTTAAATTGTATAATGTACCGGTAGGCTATCATTTTTCCACCACGAAAGCTTGTGACTAATTACATGTTCACAATTACAGATAACAAACAGAAAAGTGCAAAATATCCTGCAGTTACCGGTAATTCAATTCATGGAAAGATTTCCATACATGGACATCAATTGACACCCTGTGCACATACCTATGGGACTGGCCTGAAAAATTCTAGATTGTTTTCTAAGTAAATGCTTCGATACTTTCCTTGCTAAATTTGACTTTCTGGGACGTTATCATGTACTGATGGCTTGTAAACCACTGCAAGAGGAAATCAGTGATGTCCGTACTTAGAAATCTTGCCCAATTGATGTAAATTTAAAACATATTGAAATATTGAAAGGAAGATAGCTTCTACGGTGTATGTATGCGCATGTACATGTAAGCCTACATGTAAATGTACTACTAGCAACTTGGTCATACTGGGACTTTTGGAGTGAGGAAAAAAATTGAAATTCGAAGGTGCAGCCACAAATTTTGAAAAAGCTTTAAAGGAGCAACTCCAATGGTTTTAAAAGTTTTTAAAATAAACTATGATTGTGTTTCATGTGTAATAAATTACACATTCATTACCAAATCATGTCTGTATTTCATCTCATCTGTACTTTTTGTAATTTTGCCGAAACTTTTGAACGTTGCCTTTGAGTTTTATGAAAAATTTCCACAATCCGACCATTAACGGTGCTGTGGAGAAACAAAATTTGTATGATATAATACTGGAGAAAACACTGAAACTGGTATCCATGGCACAACTGGTTCCGCTACAAATGTACATGTACACGTGAACATGGAGCTTCATACATGTACATGTGTGTGTACCGTGTACCGGGGATCGTTCTGTGTGCCGGGTCTACTGTGCCGCATTTGCATTATCTCTTTTCCGTCTAGTACATGTAGGTTGTGCGCCTTTCTTCATGATTTACAATAATGCCGAAATCGTGCGTCATTGGTGGATTTAAACATTTTACGACAAGTTCGTGCTGTCGTCAGCAGCTAAGTGTGCTTTGCATGCCTAAAGCACACGCACTGTGGTATTTCCTCCCCACGGTAATACATCACAGAAATCAATATTCATTAGATGCTAATGAGTCCTGATGACACGTCCATTTTTACAATACCCGACTGGACTAGCAGGAAAAATGGGTACAAAAAACTGTGTTTTATTAACAAAAAGATGTGTACTGCCAGGAAGAAACTGATGTGCCACTTTTTATTAGACTTGGCTCTTTCGAATTGGATACAATATGAGAAACATCAGCATCATTGGAGTTTGGTCTTTGATAAAATCTCAAGTCTGAATCATAATAGCTAGGTTCATGGACCCAGACGTTGGTGGCGCTATTCCCGATATGCTATTTCTTAAATCTTTGTGTGACCATCGTTTTTACCTTAATTAGTACCAAAAAGGTGTTTTTACCATGAATGAAAATGTGATTTTTGAATTCTACGGACTTTAATTGACTTTAAAAACTTCGAATCCGCAGTAAAACTTGCCAAAAATATTTATTCATCCCACAAAATGACATGGCAACGTTCACAGAAATGCCAATTCCAGACAAAGACCGAAATATCCTTACATGTACACTGTACCTTGATTTCATTTGTTCATCTTACCTGTGGTACATGTTTGATTAGATAAAGTTGCATTAAAGAAGAAAACTGAAACATGTGATTGTCACATGCATTATCATTAATTACTTTGCACATTTTCATTATCAGTTCAAATCCATCATTACAACCGGGGGGGGGGGGGAAGGGTGCTGAGAGCCTCCCCAGGATTGGGGAAATTTTGGTTCACTCCCTTTCCCACAAATTCCAGTCATGCCAGCTCCACATTGTACGTGGATACGGATATTTGAAACTATTTGTTACATGTACATGTATTTCACTGTGTGCATGTACATGTATGCATAAACCGAGTGAACAGGTGAAGATGCCTAAAAGGTCACAAGTATTTGTGACCCAGTCTGTGAAAATGAGTCTTAAGTCGCCAGAGCCACTTTGGAGTAAAAAGTCCTTTAGAATAATTTTGCGCAGTGAAAACCGATAGGAACCCACAGCTTTTTTCACCATGGAGTATCCACTTTCATCAGGATGCCAAACTGAGTGATAAAACAAAAACTCAATTTGCTCTTTCCAATACAAATGAAAACTCCAAAGTGGCTCTGGCAACTTAAGACTCATTTTCACAGAGTGGGCCACATTTAACCTAGGCTATTCTATGCATAGGCCTCTCTATCAATATACCGGTAACCTAGACTACGTCCTGAACAGTAAGGCACTACTCTGTAGGCCTTGCTGATCCCTGGCATTTGTTGGTTCCATACGAGACGGAGAAAACCACCATTTACTTTTTTTGATCACATCTTCCCCTAAAAAGCCCATAATAGTAGGTAACCTACATAAAAGTACTGGGCATGTGTGCATGTTCTCAAGGGTAACCGACATTATTACAAAAAATGAGCTTTTTCCTACCCTCGACGATCCGTGTATCATACGTGCCTCGCATTCTGTGGCCGTACGTCACGTGACAAAAATAGGCACAGCGTAACAAGTGTTTATGTTGCTTTGGATACCAGACCCAATAATTCCAACTACTCTTGTTAAAATTATTAATTAAAGAGACATCAGGGAAATCTATGATCAGGGAACCACACTAATGCAGATGTAGAATTTGTTCCCTTATCACACTTATAATAGGAACAGGGTGCTAAATGTAATGAACCCCTTTCAAATGCTGTTGCGTATGGAACCATCAAACATCAGGAATCAGTAAAGCCTACGCGTACATAGTGCCTTACTGTTCAGGAAGTAGGTCTAGGCTACATAATAGGCCTAACTTTCGTTCAAGTCGTTCTAATCGCCTATGACATGATGGAGGTGGAAACCTATCATTTGAATGCAAATTTAAAGCCTTCTTAAGATAGAAGACATCTTAAAATAAAAACATCGGCATACACGACAAAGGCATTTCTCATACACCATCATGACAATGCATGCTATATCGCGTCATCTTCATGGTCATCCGTTCATCATGTTCATGAATGATTCGTCGTGTTTGTGCCCCGTGGTTCGTAACTAACCTGTGGGGAGTTCGACCCAGTTGTTCCCACTGACAACAGCCCTGTTACATGTATCCCAGATTCGTTCCACCTCTGGAACCAAGTTTTTGCGGAAAATGAACCAAGAAATGTCAAAACAAAACCGCTCAATCTCTTTAAGAAAACTTCACTTCCACTTTCCGGCTACTGTCTCCTACTCCTCGCGCTGCAACTTCCGCGTTCCGAGTTACTTTTTTTTCACTGGTTCGCACAGCTGTTTTGTTGTCTTCGTTCGACAGCGTATAGATTCCTGGAAATACCGGGTACCAGCTAAAGATAATGCATTGCGATATAAGAAGGCGAGAGGGCGCGCTTGCACCCATCCAGATGCCGCGTTGATGGAAGACACGTTAAACTTAAGGTATGGCCATGCAGTCCACAAACTCAAGTGAGAATTTCTGGCCAGCTCATTAGCATTAAAAGTGCGTCCCGCAGTATCTTTTGAAAACGGAGCTTTATGGTACCCCAAACGGTGAGACTGTGTAAAGCTTTGCCAGGATCGACTCCCTGGTTCTTGGCCTTCCATCGGAGAACAGGATGGCTAAAACGTGCGGTTTAAATGTGGGCCTAAGTTAAGGGTTGCCACTTGAAAAAATGGCTGCAAGCAGACTTCGGAGAAATCCCATTTCGGGGGTGGTGGTTTTGTTTAGAATAATTAAAAATGTAATTGGTTAACCCATACTAAATTGAAAGTAATCGGAAAATCAGGGACCAGACAATAATTGAATATGTGTTCCAGAAACCTCAGGCCAGGGATGTTGGTAAGCATGTTATTTTGGCCCTGAACAATGCCGATTTTTACACTGTTTTTAATGGGGCTTGAATTGGTGGACTGCACCTTCTAAGGCATTCTTATTAATTCAATTAGCAATGACAATCCAAGCGTTGCTCTTTGAGTGAGAACTTTGAGTGCATGGTGGGGAAATATTTCCGGGCAATAAGCGGAAGGCGGCAACCTTTAACCCCATGCTAATGCATAACGCACGACTGAGAGACGGCTACAGAGCAGAGGGTTATTTAAATTCCCTTTGTGTCGGTCAGTATTACATCTTTAGTTGATTAAGCTTTAGTTAATTAGCAGGTAATCCCAGATGATGTTTTGATTTTTTGCCTTTCTGAATAAACCAATTTGCTTTGCGCCACAGGCTTAATCATCTTTGATGTAAAGCCTAATGCACCCGCATTAAAAATAGTTGCAATCAGCTTGGTCGAAGCTTCAAATACAGACAGTCATCTTGGTGGAACTTGTATCATTTGTTGACGCGAGGGCATTGTACGTTCGTCAAACGTCTAATTTCCGTAGTCGTTGCCGAGTGTGTACCCCGCCATGTTTGTTCTGGTTCGTTGCACCATTCATCAAGGGCTGATGTCCAAACAGTCTGCGATGACAAACAATTCGTAACATATTTCGAACATTCATACTCATATGTTTTGGTGGACGGGTTGTTGACGTGGTTATTTCATTACTGTCGGGGGGGGGGGGGATTTCATTGCTCGGATCTTTTTCTTGGGGGGGGGCTTTGTCTAGTGGAAGACGGTGTAGCTAATCGTGTAGGGATCTTATTTTGCTTGCACGGTAAAGGACAAAACAGAGATTATGGTTTCACTAACGGCGACAACTTTACCGGTACGAATCAAATTTCTCGGCCACCCCCCTGGATCCGCTGGCCTGAAGACCGCGCCAGTGCCAAGTGTTTTGATTCTATTAAATAGCTGGTTCGGGGGCTGTCAATTATATAGAGACTGTCAGACCAAGATGAGACGATAAGTGGTTGCTAGGTAACGCTATCTTAATAAGAAGTTGGTCCGGGAAAACTTGAAAGATATCAAAAGATGGATGAGCTTTTTTTGTCTAAGGACGGTGTTAATAAGATGGAATCGCAGCCAGAATGGTACACAGTAAGGAGAATTTGGAAATAAGACAGTAAAAAATTAATATCATTTTAAAAGTAAAATTATTGTGATTGTAGCCCCCCCCTCGACCGCTGCTTGACCTTGCCTCTTCAGCCGAGTTCACGCGGCCTATTCTTGACACAGGTTTCTTGTTCTCGC